GTATATTAGTATTATTCATACTTAACTTTCCCTATATTAGTATTATTCATGCTTTAATTTCTTTATATCGGTATTATCATACTTTAATTTCTTTATATCGATATTATTATACTTAGATATCTCTATAATAGTGTTATTCTTCCTTTTATTTCTTTATATTGGTATATTCATACTTAGATTTCTCTATATTAGTATTATTCATACTTAAATTTCTCTATATTAGTATTATTCATACTTAAATTTCTTTATAATAGTGTTAATCATGCTTTAATTTCTTTATATCGATATTATTCATACTAAATATCTCTATATTGGTATTAGTCATATTTTAATTCTCTTATATCGGTATTATTCATACTTAAATTAAATTATATCGTTATTTTTCATATTTAGATTTCACTATATTAGTATTACTCATGCTTTAATTTCTTTATAACGGTATTATTCATACTTAAATTTCTCTATATTAGTATTATTCATACTTAAATTTCTCTATATAAGTATTATTCATGCATAAATTTCTCTATATTAGTATTATTCATCCTTTAATTTCTTTATATCGGTATTATTCATCCTTAAATTTCTCTATAATAATATTACTCATGCTTTTATTTCTTAATATCGTTAAAATTCATACTTAAGTTTCTCTATATAAGTATTATTCATGTTTTAATTTCCTTATATCGGTATTATTCATACTTAAACTTCACTATATTAGTATCACTCATGCTTAATTTTTTGTATCGTTATTACTCATACTTATATTTCTCTATCATAGTAATATTCATGCTTTCATTTCTTTATGTTGGTATTATTCATAATGAAATTTTTCTATAAAAGTGTTATTCATACTTAAATTTCTCTATATAGGTATTATTCATACTTAAATTTTTCTATATTACTACTATTCATGCTTTAATTTCTCTATATTACTTTCATTCATGCTTTTATTTCTTTATATCGGTATTATCATACTTAAATTTTTGTATATTAGTATTATTCATACTTAAATTTCCCTATATTAGTATTATTCATGCTTTAATTTCCCTATATTAGTATTATTCATACTTAAAGTTCTCTATGTTAGCATTATTCATGCTTTAATTTCTCTATATTGGTATTATTCATACTTAAAGTTCTCTATGTTAGCATTATTCATGCTTTAATTTCTTTATATTGGTATTATTCATATTTAAGGTTTTCTATTATAGTATTATTCATGCTTTAATTTGTCTATATTGGTATCATTCATACTTGAATTTCTCGATATTAGTATTATTCATACTTAAAGTTCTCTATATTAGTATTATTCATGCTTTAGTTTCTCTACATCGGTATTATTCATTCTTTAATTTCTATATATTAGTATTATTCATACTTTAATTTCTTTATAAGGCACCTCCAGTGGCATAGTGGTATGTCTGCGGACTTACAACGCTAGAAACCGGGTTTCGATACCCGTGGTGGGCAGAGCACAGATAACCCTTGTGCAGCTTTGTGCATAATTAAAAACAAACAAACAATTAATTTCTTTATATCGGTATTATTTTTTACACATTGCGTCACATTATCATTTTCTCTATTTCTCGCCACCCTTTTCCATTATTCTATTTTTAATTTTATCTTGTTAAAAATTGGTTAACATTTATAACTATTATCACGTTTACGTCTTTCGTGTATTGTGCACACCTGTTTGGTACAAACTAAACCTAACATCAACAACTCCAAGTTATGATTGGCTAGATCTCGAGGCTAACTCATATTGAACATCCGACCAACATATTTTAGTTAAGTCAATTGGTGGAGAAACCTTACTTGATCTTCTAGATACTATAACTTTACAGCCAGTCTGTAAAATACTTAATTCTTCAAGTTTAAACTAACGAACTACAAAGCTTACTAGTTCATATTTTAACTCAACGTACTTATCTTCGTGTTTTTTTTCTCTAGCGTCATCTACCATGATGTCAATAGACATAGTGATTTACTTCTGAGATAACAGACCTGTACTACTGGCTCTTTAAATCAGAAAACGAACACATCAACGCTCCTACACATAACGTCGTCTTCCTTTACAACACCAACTTTAAACAGGGACACATTACTTAGTTTTCACCTTTCCTTCACTAACTATATTCTCCCTTGCCTACAAACAACCACCGAACAATGCAACCTAGATCCACCAAACACTCCTAGTCATAAGTCTCATTCAACCTACCCTACTCCCTATATCCAATCCACAAAACCTCCTCAATCCATAGAGCATACCTCCGTACTCCACAAGTCCAGTACACTTCCAAACTCTATCACTGCTTCTCCCGGAACTAAATGTTATTTGTTTCTTACATATAACATCCAGTAACATGTTTCTATTTTTTATTTCTTATATATACATCCAGTAATTTTTTTATTTTTAACATACATCAACCAGTAACATTTTTCTATTTTTTTATTTCTTACATATACAACCAGTAACATTTTTTTATTTCTAACATATAACATCCAGTAACATTTTTCTATCTTTTATTTCTTACATACACAGCCAGTATTTTTTTTTATTTCTAACATACAACAACCAATAACATTTTTCTATTTTATATTTCTTACATACAACCAGTAAAATTTTTGTTTTTTTTATTTCTAACATACAACAACCAGTAACATTTTTGTTTTTTAAAATAACATACAATAACTAGTATTTTTTTTTCTGTTTTTCATTTCTTACATATGACAAGGAGTAACATTCTCTGTCTTTTATTTC